GTATCTTTTGTTGAACATCATTCTCCTGATGACATTTCCTGTATATTGCCTGGTTGCAAGTCTTAGGTTTACAACGGATGCATTGGAAATATCAGCTTCATTGTTGATGCATTGGTTGTAAATGAACCTAACAAGATTATTAGCTTCTTCGTTTCACTTGTGGAGTAACCAGCTAAGTCTTTGTGGACTAATTATGTTAGAAACAACCAATTTTCTCATTTTCTTCCATTGATCTCCCCATGGCACAAACGCTATTGACAAGAAACCACGAGAAGCATAATCAGTTGCCATCGTAATAGGCCTCGATGCAAAAACTGCATCATACTTTTTCAAGAATTCTTGAGCAATTTCAGGTGAAGTGACTGGAATAACATGAATGTTTCCCAGGCGGATACAAGCAATATCAGTGTCGAGTTGTTTCATGAGGCCAAGAATCCACTTGAACGCAGGCTTGTTTTTCCATAATTCAGGGAGGTTTCCAATGACTGGCCAGGGAGTTGGCCTTGGTGGGAGAGGTGCTTGGTTTGGGGTCTCATTTCTAGTGTTGCCTTTCAATTTGAAAAGGACAAGGAGTGCAAACAGAAAGACTAAGACATGTGTTGAACGAAATAGAAAAAGGCTGGAGATGGCAAAATCATGAGAGCTGCTCTAGTTTGTGATGGACAATGATGTAAGGAACAATTTTGAAACCTTAAGAGTTAACCCAAACCACATATAGTCAACTTTATGAGCCTAATTTATAGGTAGAGCCATGTTTCTTTTATCCTTTATAATTGACCCAATGTTTAGGATCATATTATTGTATTCTATTTGTGCTAATAGACTTATTTTTATATTAAGCTAATTAACCAATTTCATTGCTTGTATATTCATAAACGTGCATATATATTGCATAAAATACCTACCCTAAAGCTATTTTCAACAAAAGCTTTCATGAAACCCACTAAACGTCTAGTTTGATTCTATAGAAAAAAAAGGTTATTTTTTTGTTGAAACTTTTTAAAAGGGACAAACATTATCTCTCATACATTGCATTTGTATGAATATGGCACTAATTTTAAAAATAATGGGTAAACAAAATTTAAGTAGAACCTGACAATTGGTATTTAATATAGTGTAAAATACTAAAGTTGATGTATTCGTACTTGTGTTTATACAAAATTATCTTGTCATAGTTCATATCGACAAAAAAACATAAAATACATTTTGGTTTGTTAAACCTATTTATAGATTTTGCTTGTATTTTTTATTTGTATCAATTTCATTCATATCACAATATTGTTATTGAAATTCAGTCTAGGTTAAGATACTCAATTATTTAAGAACTCAGCTCAATTAACTTATCCACCAGTATAACTGAGTTCAAGTAAGAATAATCAAGAGTATTTTGAGTTGAAGTTGAGTAAAATCTTATAAGCCTAAACAAGTGAACAAAAAGGAAGCTATGGAGAAGATGCCAGCCCCATGACATTTATCATAAATATGTTGACAACCCTTATAACCTTTTAGGTAGCGGCATCTCAAGCTCAATCCACTCAGAAATTCCTCTACAGTAATTCTCATTCCCAACAGGATATACCTACCTTAGAATGCCTTTCGCATCAACCGCGGGGCATTTTTAGAGTTATGTCAATCCTATTTTTAGAAAAAAAGGCAATATAACTAGTACAAGTTCCCAATCTGAATGACTTGTAAGAGAAGGAAAAGCTGAAGTTGAAAGTAGTAGAAGCTTTAGAAGACTCCAAATTTGAGCAAAAGATGAATTTGCTGGATAAGAGATTACAAGTTATAAAAGGAATAGATTTTTACGGTTTTATAGCTACGGCCAGACTTTGCTTGGTTCCTGATGTTGTTACACCACTAAAATTTAAAGTTCCAAGAGTTCAAAAAATATGATGGTACTAAGTATCTAGTGACTCATCTCACTATGTACAATTAAAAAATGGTTGGTTATACTAGTGACAAAAAGTTATTGCTTCACGTATTCCATGACAGCCATATTGGTTTTACCGCAAGGTGGTATGTCCAGCTAAACAAGACTTGTATTACTTCATGGAAAAAATTGCAAAAGCGTTCATTACCCAATACCGACATATTATAGACTTGGCTCCAAACAACCTCAAAACCTAATAATCAAACCAACAATTTGAGGGAAGCACAAAAAAAAAGGCTTCTTTTGATCTTAATCCTATAACATACATAGACTTGCTGTCACATTTATTGAAAAATCATTTGCCAGCCCCTATTAATGTTGAACCAATAAAACCTCCTTCTCCAAAATTAAATGATACTAATACTCAATGTGACTACCATTATAGAATCACAGGTTACTTAAAAGCGAATTGTGTTGTCCTAAAGCATAAGGTACAAGTCTCATTAATGCTGGTTTGATAAAATTTGATGATAATGAAGGGTCGAATGTCACTGAAAATATTTTGCTCAATAATACACGGGCATGATTTTGAGAAGATGTTTTAGGAGTTTTCTTAAAGAAGTAATGAACTTTAGGGAGGTATTTTATGTGTTTATCTTGTATTTATCTTGCATTTCAATAAAATGGCAAAGTGCATTTTATTGTACTTTCTTCTTTTTATCATTACTTTTATGTATCCCATCATGCTTTACTCGCTCCCATACTCCAAGTAATGAATATTTAGACAATTGTGACAATAATTTGGGATTCAATCTTGAAAATGTCATTCTTATTTATGAGATTGATGACTTAGGCCCCTAATCTATTGGGTGAATTAAAGTTAACATGCTTTACTTATTCAGCAAAAGGCAAAAATAAAACCATTTTAGGAGAATGTAATCCTTTATATCCGCAAGCTTGATTTCATTCAATAGAGATTTTTCAAAAAAAAAAAAAAATTCACATTTGAAAAGAGAAATAGACGTATTTCTTTTATTTTTTGTACAAAAAGTAAAATCATTCATTTACTACCCTTTTTGAGCCTATCATGATTTTTTTGCAAGAAACTTAGGTACTAAGTATCACTCTCCATATTAGGGGACAAAGTTTGAAAAAAAAGAAATCTATTGGCAAAAGAAAAATGGGAGCCACAAATGATTAGAACTAAGCCCATGATAGATAATGCACCAGGATACAAGACTTCAACCATGTGCTGGACCAAAAGTCGTTGCTCAATTATATTAGTAACAAATGTACCAACTTCGCTAAAAGGAAGCAAATTTCTTCATAGCCCTACTTGTTCCCTAGCCTTGCAGCATAGCATACGTAACTTGCTGCAGCAGCATACACTACTAATATCAACTTTCCTGAACCTCATAATCTCGGCTGAAGCTCACTAGTTTGTAAAATTCACAACTACATGAACTTGCAGTTAACAGTGCCTATTAATTCATAAATTATCGCCAAAATTCAACATCAAGGTGTAGAAATAAAACAAAATTACTAATTATTCATTCAACATTTAGATTAAAATTACTTACATGGCTGGGTCGGATAAAATTACCCGCAAAGAATCACCAGAGGTGATCCGCTCGAAAATGAAACATCTTTCCTCCCACTAAACCCACATCCACCACCACCATTACCATTCTTACCTTGCAAATATTGCCCGTCATTGTCACCGCAATCGTCATTAGTCTCTCTCACCCCTTGCCTCGCACAACTCCCTCCTTCTTCACCACCAATTCCCTGCAGCTCCCTCCACTTTCCAACAATAATTATAAAGAAGGGTATTTCTGACCTTTCTTACTTCCTACTTATGTTCCAGGAAAGCTGGCTGTGAATTTTCTAACACTAGAAGGTTTTTCTTTTTTTTTTTCTTTCATTTTATCGTTTTGTATTTCTTTTTATGAGCATAGGGCAGAATTTGATGTTAGAAAGAAGCAATTGTTGCACTCAGAGGTTCTTAAATATATATTTTGCTGAATCTGAAACAAAATGAAAAATTATTGAAAACTTTTGTGCTATTTCCTTCATTTCATTATTAATAAAAGTGTTAGCATTGAATCAATTAAAATTAATGTTGAGAGATAAAACCTACTTATTAAATAGTAAAGGGATTAAATTTAATTTTGAAACTAATAATTCATTTATTGAAAATTAATTAGAAAAAAAATACAATGAAGGGGTTTGAATTAAACTAAAAAGTCCATTGTTTTTGTTTTCACTGTCAAGTCCAATTACGCTTTGAAGTGTATTTTTTAATTTCTAAAAGAAAATCAATATTTATATCTTTATTATTATATAGGATAAATTACAAATATGTACTCTTTGGTTAGAGTTCAAAATAAATTTAGGGTTTAGAATTTTGTGTTTTCTTTTGTTAATTGTCAAATCAATTTTATTAATGGGATGAAAATTAAGGAAGGAATAGAGATTTCAAACAAAAAAATGCTTTTACTTTCAAAATTAACGCGAAAATGGTTAGAGAGGTTAATTGGCATTTTTTAAACCTTAAAAGTTATATTTATTTTGGTTTATCACGTGTTAAAATTTTGTAATTTATCATATTACTATTTTTTTTATTATATATACTATATTGAAATATTAATTGCATAGTGCCATAAATTTTGTAGTAATATTTAAAAACATAAAAGGACATAGAATATAAATGAAATAAGAGAATATTAGTGCTCTCCCCGTGCAATAAATAATATTTTGTTTTTATATTTTTACTTGCCTAAAAAAATGTTTCATTAATTTAAAAAGTAAAAAACTCAATTTTTACTTTTTTTTTATTACCTTTAACTATATGAAAAAAACTTTTTTCTTTTTTTCAATATAAGGGTAATTTGAAAAAGAACATTTTTAATTAATAAAAGTCAAAATTCGTCTTAAACTTTTCTAAAAATTTTTGCAAAATCAAAACAAGACACCACAAAAGGGAGTAAAGCTTCTTAACCCTACCAAAAGTTAAAATATTTTGGGAATTATTTTTTCCTAATATTATTCCTCCATGGACTTGTGAACATCACTTGGTATAAGTATGTGTCCCTTCATTTCCAATTGGTGAAGAAAAAGCTACAGCTTGGCTGAATCAGGGAAACTCAACTTGCGTGGCTAGATTGTTAATGGAAATTGGAATCATATATAGCAATAAACATAGGGTTGCCCGCGTTGGATTTTGAATTCCAAACATGCTGAATCTCACCGCTTAATGCTGACGACATGTCTTATTCTCATGACCTCTAATAATAACATGGTTTACAGTTTATTTAGTACAGTATTGTAGCACTAAAGCTTTTTAAATTTGACTAGTAGTCAAGCTGAGTATAGAAGTGCAGCAGGCAAGCATGGTTAGCAAGTGCATGCAATGGTTTTGCCAAGGAAGATCATCTTCCGATTCAGAGAGGTAAAATTTTCGATTCATTAGGTGAAACGTTCCATTTAAAACCTTGAATCAGCCTGGCAAACAGCATTACAGTCATTTCAGTCCCAAGAGCTACACCTATGCACCCGCGCCTTCCAGTACTAAACGAAATGAACCTCAGTTCCGGCTCTGTTAGATCAACTTTGTCACTCGAACCATCTTTCAAATGCCGCTCAGGCTTGAATTCAATGGCTCGTCCCAAACTCTCCGGTTCCGGCCAAGGCCTGCTCGGCTGAGCAGGACATGACTACCTTTAGGGATGAAGTAGCCGGCAACCGTGGCATCGGCTATTGAGACATGAGGAACGTTGAAGGGTGCAATGGGGTGAAGCCGAAAAGCTTCCCTTGCACAAGCCTTTATATAATTGAGTTTTGGAATGTCAGCTTCTTGAACCCATCTGTCCTTTCCAACAACACTTTCTATTTCCTGGCAGGCTTTTTGGAGAATTTCAGGTTTGTTGAGCATCTCTGCCATAGCCCATTCCGCTGCATTAGCAGGATTATCTACTGTTTCCAGCATCAATTCCTGCTTGTATATCAAACAAGGATCACCATACTTAATTTAGTTAACCAAAAAATTTTATCATCACCACCAAATACCATCGATTGTACGTGATTATTATCATTTTGTACATAAAATTAATTAAAAATTAGTGCCATAATCCTTTCATTTTAGTACACAAGTTGATTAATTTAGTTAAGTTTAGGTCAAATTATGTAAGAGGTTTTTATACTTTAAGATAATTTAGAATTTAGTTCTTATATTATAATTTATATAAATTTAGTTCTAGTACTATTTTGAGTTGATAATATTAATTTAATCATTAATTTCGTCGAATTTTTATAGTTCAAAATATTGATACAATTATTGACTTTGCTAATGTAGTGTTAACTTTGTTAATGTTGCGATGACATGCGAACGTTAACACTTTTAGCTACACAAAGTTGACAAAATTAATGATTAAATTAAGATTATTAAATCAAAATAATATAAAAACTAAATTTTTATAAATTATGATATAGATATTAAATTTTTGCAAAGTATAATAACCTATGGCATAATTAGACATTAATTTTACTATAAATCAAAACACATGCAAGCTAAAAGGCAGTATTGTGTTTAGAAGTGTAATTAAGAATCTCACCGTGCATTGGGCTTTGATCTCTTCAACTGAAAATGCTGGCTTCCCAGACGAATCCTTTGCTGAAATGAAGGCATCAAGAAGGTCTTCAGGCTCCTTCTTCTTCCCTTCTCTCCACTGTTGTACTCTCTCATCAATAATCGGATCATGGTAACTGTTGACAATTCTCTGAGCCTCAGTCACAATCTTCTCATGACCCTCCAAATCTAATGCTCTCAGCCAAGGTACATAGTCTGATAGGATGAAAGAGTAAACGTGCATGAGAATAGTAAAGAGACGTGCTCATCTTCTTCATGTCCAGGCCCTCCATCTTCTTTGCCCTTTCCAAAGTATCTTTTGTTGAACATCATCCTCCTGATGACATTTCCTGTATATTGCCTGGTTGCAAGTCTCAGGTTTACAACGGATGCATTGGAAATATCAGCTTCATTGTTGATGCATTGGTTGTAAATGAACCTAACAAGATTATTAGCTTCTTGGTTTCTCTTATGGAGTAACCAGCTAAGTCTTTGTGTACTAATTATGTTAGAAACAACCAATTTTCTCATTTTCTTCCATTGATCTCCCCATGGCACAAACGCTATTGACAAGAAACCACGAGAAGCATAATCAGTTGCCATCGTAATAGGCCTCGACGCAAAAACTGCATCATGTTTTTTCAAGAATTCTTGAGCAATTTCAGGTGAAGTGACAGGAATGACATGAATGACATGAATGTTTCCCAGGCGGATATAAGCAATATCGGTGTCAAGTTGTTTCATGAGGCCAATAATCCACCTGAAGACAGGCTTGTTTTTCATTAATTCAGGGAGGTTTCCAATGACTGGCCAGGGAGTTGGCCCTGGTGGAAGAGGTGCTCGGTTTGGGTTCTCATTTCTAGTGTTGCCTTTCAATTTGAAAAGGACAAGGAGTGCAAACAGAAAGACTAAGACATGTGCTGAATGAAATAGAAAAAGGCTAGAGATGGCAAAATCATGAGAGTTGCTCCAATAAAGTAGCAGATGAAATGGGGAGGAAATATTAGTGGAGGATTTATCCATTTCCTAACAATTAAACGGAAGTTTTCTTCTCTCCGTTTGTTTATTTGTATGCTTGTCTACACAAAATGATAGGTTGATCTATATATAGAGATTATTGAGAGAGAGACATAGAGAAAGAGATAGGTTTAAACACTGTTTGGACTTTCATTGAGCTTTGTGAGAAATTTAAGAGGCTGTTAAAATAGTAAGTGTTGGTTTGTTTGTTATTTTGGCATTTGCATTTTAATTTGCTTTTGGAACTAGCTGAAAATTAAGTAAACATGTCAAAATTGAATAATCACATGATTTGAATGGTAAATTTTTAATTTTAATACGCGGAATTCAATTTTTAATAAATTTAAATATAAAAAATTAAGTAATATATTTAATTTTTTTTCTTTTGGATTATAGAAGTTTTATTTCATCATCTTAAGAGGAATGCCACTCTAAATTGAATCAATATTCTTGTTTTACCACTCTTTCGTCCCTTTCTATTTTTTCCTATCATTTTCCCTTTCTATGAACTTTTTTTTTTAATTTTGAGATTAAAATCAAATTTGAAACTATATACTATGGCTTAAATATTAAAAATTTTCATTGTATTTCAATTTTAATCAATTTTATCATTATACTTTCAATTTCGTTGATTTTAGAAAAAAATAAAAAAATAAAATATTTCAAGAAATATTTTATTAATAAAAATGACAGATTTGATCATTTCCGTTACTTTTTATCAAAAAATTAACCAAAAAAAAGTATTGTAGGTAAATTCAATGAAATTAAATACAATGAAACATTTTAATATGACTTCATAGTGTAGTGGCAAATTTGACTTAAACTTTCAATTTTATGCAACTCTTTTAATATATCAAGCCACATTTTTTGTTGTTACAATTTATCAAGCCAAACCTAATTAGTATAGATGCAATGGCTATAGAAAAATTAGAAATAAAAAATAAGAATTAAGTTATTTCAAAAAATATATATTATAGGCAAAAAATGTTAATACATTGTAAAGTTGAAACTTTCTTATATATGTATTTTTGGTATAAAGAAAGGTTGTAGCTTGAGAACAGAAGAGAAGATTATAGATACTAGATTCAAACCCTTACTTATTGGATATTACTATTAAAGTGGCAGTGTAAACCAATTGAAATATTGGATATTCTTTTATGTTTTAATCGTTACCTCCCAAATAATTTTCTTCTTTCATCATAAGTTTGATCGCCTTGTTTCTCCCCATGTCACTAAAATTTGACTTATCAAACCAGAAATAATGCTATTGAATTTAATTTATCAAACTCACTAATTAAACTTTGTATTTATCAAATTATTATATACTAATAATTATTAATGCATCAATATAACTACTATGGACATCCATTTCATTGAATTTAATTTTTTAAGCTCACTAACCCAATACATTTTTAGGTTTTTATTAAATTAATATATAATTTTTATTAAAATTTTAAATCATATTATTTTTTTTTATTTTTTATCACATCATTTTCAGATCATAATCCTTATTATATTTTAAATTATTAAATTTGTTATTATTATTATAAGTTTCTTTCACTAAAGCTTCATAAACGTCATTAAAAAAAAAAAAGGGTTCGTCAGCAGGCACGCAGACGTGAAACTCATGAATTAAAAACCAAAATCCGTACATTTTTAAAAAGAAAAAGGTGATATATTATTCCATAGAGGAAGATACGTCAGCAGGTGACTTCGAAAATTTATATTGAATTCCATGTTTATCAAAAAAAAGAAAAAAAAAAGAAAAGTCCACAGGCTTGAAATACGGAATCGAACACGTAACTCCTTTGATGTAACAGGAGCCAATAATTAATCATAGTATTTAAAATAATCAAATAAAAGGAATTATATTCTTATCTCATATATTTATCTTCAAGAAAGCTTAAATAAATAATAAATGAAGATATCAGAAAGTAAAAAAAAAAAAAATAGTACCAATAGCTGGTAACGTATTAAACAGGTCTTATTTTGTTAATTTTAAAAAAATAATCTTAGTTCATTCAATTCATAGCAATCACAAATGTAAAAAACTTTGTAAAAGGCGGCTCGAATATTTGTTTTTCAGTTTTCTCAAATAAGTCTAAGTAACCATTCAAAAGAAAAAAGTTTTAAGTAAGTATTTTTTTTTATAAATTACATAATTCAATTTATGGACACCTAATTTCATTTGAAATTATTCAAATTTATGTGATTTTCATGCTTAATTTGTATGCCTTAATTTGGGTCATTTTAGAGTTTTAATTGGATTTATCTTGTAGGATCATTTGAGCTTTTTCATTTTAGGATCAATTTAATTTTGTTGGGTGTAATTCAAAGTTGGATCAATACAAAAAGTATAACTTTTATCGATGAAATTTTTTGTCAATAAAAGTAAATATTTTTGTTGATAATACTTTTATCGATAAAATTACAGACAAAAAAATTTCATTAGTGCTAAGCAAGTCAGTGATGTCTTTCTGTTAGTAAAATTGAATTTTTGTCGATAATTATTGATGGATTTTATTGACAAAATTTTTCGTCAGTAAAAAATCTGTGAGTAAAATCCATTGGCAAAAAATTCATCCATAAAAGCCGTTGATAAAAATTTTGTCAATAAAATTCATC